ATAATAAACAAACTTGTAGCTGCAATTCGAAAAATAAAAAACTACCACAAACTCAAAAAAAAACCAACAACAACATAACATTATATAATTAACAAAATATAACTTATAAAAATCGTAAAAATTATGAAAAGCCTCTACAAAAATTTAATTTAAACGCTAAATGAAATTCTTTTTAGTCGTACGTACATAAGAGAACAACCAACACACATACACTCGGAACAAGAAATGGAAATATAGAAACTTTAAAAAACAAAGACAAAAAACCAATCCTATTAACTATTTATTTGAGATTGAATTTAAAACATTTTTTATTTAAATTAAATAAACGTTTTATTTAAATATTCATTATTTTTTCATAATTTATAAAGTCGGAACAGGAAATGGAAATATAGAAACTTTAAAAATAAACACAGAATTTAAAACATTTTTTTAAATGAAATAAAAGTTTTATTTAAAAATTCATATTTTTGTCATAATTTATACAGCCGGAGCAAGAAATGGAATTATGGAAACTTTAAAAATTGAAAAAATCAATACTTATTTATTTGAGTTTGAAAATATTTTTAAATTAAATAAAGTTTTCCTTAAAAAATTCATATTTTTTATAATTTATAAAATTTTGACGGTTGTTTTTAAAAATTGATTTAAAATTTTATATAATTTCTAATATTTTTAGCTGAAGATTCTGTAACAAAAATATTTTATAATAGTTATAATAAACACTCAACATATTATCACACCCACCCATGTTCCTACAGGGGGAGGGAAAAAACTGCAACAAAGTCAAACGCCATAATCTTTACATTTTTTTTTTGAAATTTTATTGAATGAAAGCAAAAAATATCGGAAATGTCGCATCAAATTTTAGAATAAGTTTAGATTCGTTTGAATTGATCACCTTTGGCACGAATTATGGCCTTCAAACGGCCAATGAAAAAGTCTCACGCTACCCGAATGTTGCTCTACCACTGGTTATAGGATAACTCTCTTCCCTTCTTTTTTTTAATTTCCTCCTTGAGGTATGCTTCATTTTATTAAATTATTAAGAATTTACAATGCCGAGTTGGTTAAATATGATTTAATAGGTCCAATATCCTTCGATTTCAAATATTTCCAGTGGCTTGTTTACACATCCTGTTAGAGTTATATGTAAAAAAGAAACTAATACTAATACGACCAAAAGGCCAAACAAATATTAGGGATAATACGAACTCGCGTATTGCAATTTTTCGATTTAAATTCTAAATTTTCCAATGCGAAAGTTCTATAAAACCACAGGGAGCTGTAGTTTATTATTTTATAAAAATAAAATACTTCTCTAAATATTTTTTTTATTAAAAAAAAAATCATTTAAATCCCTTTCAATATTTTCTTCTATTTCCTTCTACCTTATAGAAAATCATGGCTAAAAATACATTTTTAAGAGTTTTAATTTTGAACTATAAAAAAAAATGCTAACATGATTTTCTTTGGAGATCCAATTTATTTTCTTGTTCTTTGTTAAAAATGAATTAACAATCTTTTTTTTGGATTTTTCTTTTTTTATTAAATTGAAAATTAAAATTTTTAAATTTCTAAAATTTTTTATTAAATTGAAAATTAAAATTTTTAAATTAAATTCTTCTTTAAATTAACTAAAATTTTCAGATGCGAAAGTTCTATAGAACCACAGAGAGCTGTAGTTTGTTATTTTATAAAAATAACATACTTCTTTAAATATTTTTTTTATTAAAATACATGTTAAATCCCTTTCAATATTTGTTTTCTATTTTCTTCTAAATTATAGAAAATAATGGCTAAAAATATATTTTTATATATTTAAGAACATGATTTTCTTTGGAGTCCCAACCTATTTTCTTGTTCTTTGTTAAAAATGAACAAACTATTTTTTTATTTTTTTTTTTATTCAATTGAAAATTAAAAATTTCAAATTAAATTCTTCTGTAAATTAACTAAAATTTTCCGATGCGAAAGTTCTATAGAACCACAGAGAGCTGTAGTTTATTATTTTATAAAAAAATAGAATATTTTTTTATTAAAATATATTTTAAATCTCTTTCAATATTGTTTTTCTATTTTCTTCTATCTTATAGAAAATATATTTTATATACTATTAATTTTTCAATATTTATTCATTAAAATATATCCTAAATCCCTTTATATGTTTAACATATTTATATTTTCTTCTTTCCTATTTAAAATAATTTAAATATAAATTTCTTAAAAAATATATATATTTTTTTAATATTCAAAAGAATTTAATTTTGAGCTATATAAAATATATAATTTATATAAAAAACATAATTTTCTTCGGAGGTCCCATTTTCTTCTACTCTGTCAAAAATAAATTAAGTAATTTATTTTTTTTCTCCTAACAAATGGTTTTCTTTGATTAAATTAAAAAAAAAATAATTTTATAATTGTGTAACATACATTTAATTTAATATGAATATGAATACAAAAAGAAAAGAACAAAAAAAATATGTAACCTAACCTAAACTTATATGATATGCATCCGAGACAACAACAAAAACAATTTCAACTAGTAATTAATTTCTCTAATATAACTAAGACTACATAACTTAGTTTAAAAAAAAATATTAACCATTATTTTTATTAGTATTATTTTGTTTAGTTTTATTTTCAAACAAGTTACTCTGTAATGAAAAAATAATAAATAAAAATTTATAATAATTAATAAAATCTATTTAACTAAAAATGAAAACATATGCAAACAAAAAAACTGTAACAAAAACCATGAAATTAAAAATTAAATTAATTTTTTTGGTTCATTTATTCCATTTAGTTTTTCTAAACGAATATGAAATTTCGTAAAGAACAGTAAAAATAAACAACAAATGTCGGGCAATGTCATAAATTTAAAAAATGAAAATAATTTAAACAATGCTATTTATTATATATTTAAACAATGAAAATAAGTAAAAAAAAAAACAAAAACTAAACACAAACAAGAAACAACAACAACCAACCAACCCATTATAAAAAAATACAGTAAAAACGAGTAACAACAAACAAAAAAATGATTTAATTAATAAATAAATAACAAAACAAAACAAAAAACAAGTAACGGAAAAGAAAGTAAACTTTACTTATGTTAGTTAATCGTAAAATGACCGAGGAAAAACCATCAATAAAAACAACAACAAATAAAAATTACAAAATAAAATTACCAAAAATTGTGTTTTATTGAAATTTAAAAGTATTTCTTTTCAGGAGCTATAAACAAGTTAAAAATTATTCAAAATATTCAAAAAAAAAAAAGAAAAATAAAATAAAAAATATTCAAAAATTTGACCCTTTGTGGGGGAGGTACCAGAAGGAGTGGACCGATATATCCCATCTTCACAGCTGACCTTGTATTAGTAGAAATAATGGGATGTATGAAATATTAAGAGAACCGAATGCTTATTTCGAATTTAATAATTGTTTTGGTATTCGAAACTTTGACTCTTTGTGGGCGAGGTACCAGATGAAATGGTCCGATCTCTACCATCTTGATAACAGATCTTGTGTCAATGGAAATATTGAGATGTGGCAAGTCTGAATGGAATCGGATATTAATTTCGCGTTTTACGAGCTTCATGAATATTCAAAATTTCGACCTTTTGTGTGGAAGGTAGAAGGAGTGCGCCGATATATCCCATTTTCACACCAAACCTTGAGTTAATAAAAATGTTGTAATTTGAAGATAATCGGACTTCTACATCACATTTTATAGGGTTATAATTATTCAAAATTTAGACTCTTTGTGGGGAAGGTACTTGATGAAGTGGACCGATGCTGTCCATTTTCGCATCTGAGCTAGAATTAATGCAAATATTAGGATTTGCAAAGATCGAGCAAAATCGGATTATCCTTTCTCTTGTGGTAAAATATTTTCTTCGAAAATTTCGAACTTTTGTGGGGGAATAAGCAGAAGGAGTGGTCCGATATTGCTCACCAAGTTTGGTAATAATATTACGATTTACCAAGTTTGGACCGAATCGAATACTCCCTTCAAGAGTTATCGTGCGCACCAGCTAGACAGACAGATAGATATTGCTAGATCGACTCCAAATGCCCTAAAAGGAAATTGATCCAAAGAGATCTAGGCTCTAAAATTGTTATTTCGATTCTCTAGCCATATGGCTGAGGGTTTAAATAAAATGTTGAGTACATCTATAAACGTTAATTTTTTTATTTTCTAGTGGGATCTAAAGAATATAGGTTTAAATTCCGGGGAACCTCTAAAGATCATTAAAGTAGTTTTTTAAGTATTTTATTGGAGGCCAAAAGTCAATAAATGCATTTTTTAATTTTTTTGTTAAATATCCCTAAATGACCCAAATGTTTAATTTTTTATTGAATTTTCTTGAGGACCTTCAGGCAAAAAAAATAATTTTTTGTATTGCTTTTCTGGATGAAGAGGACCTTTTTGAGGTATTTTGTAGATAGATCTTTTATATATTTTCTAGGAATAAACTTTTTTTTGAAAGGTCGGCTGTGTATAAAACTTCAAAATTAAATATTTAATTAATTTTACAAATAAAAAAAAAACTTTATTAAAAATAAACTTAAACTTTGTTTCATATTACGAAGCTAACATCTCTTGCTAGTTGAAAAAATGTGAACATTTTATTTAGAATATATTTTGAGGTATTCTGTAAATATATCTTTGTAAGATTTTCTGGGAATTAACGTCTTTGTCAAAGGTCTTCTGCGTATTGAATTTAAAAATTAATATTTAATTTCTTCGAATACTATTTTTTACATTTAATTTATTATAATTCTAATGATATTTCACAATAATGATTAACCGAGGTCTTTGACCCCATTCTTTAGTTTGAATTATTAGTATTCTTTTCACAAATGAAAATTCACATATTCGAAATGCAAATAATATATTTGCTTTATTTTAAATAATTTGTTAAACAAAGTAATTGTGGTTTAAAGTCTCATTTAAACAAAGTACTAACGAATTTCTTTCTAAGCCATTGAAAATTTGAAAAATCAGAAAATGAATGAAAATTGACAAAAGAGAAAAATAAACGAATTTAATATTCTGAGCCAAGCTTTTTGTTGAAATTAAAGCATTTACAAATAAGATACATTTTCTTCCTTACATCGAATGTGATAATTAATCACTTGCTTATCACCATTACTATTAATAAAAAAATTGGTATCAAGAGAAAAGTGAACGAATTTAATATTCTGAGCCAATCTTTTTGTTAAAATTAAAGCATTTACAAATTAGATACATTTTCTTCCTTACATCGAATGTGCTAATCAGTCACTTGCTTATTACCAGCAATAATCAATATTGCAATACAATGGAAATTAAAATCTAATATATTCTAAGTTTGGCAATACCCAAAAAATTAATGTTTTAAAATTCAATTCAAATCTAATCAATAGTACGGCATTAGAAAAAAATTTTAAAACAATTAACGTCTTAAGCCTCCACGTCCATAAAATTTGGGAGCATTGGCGGATTGTTGATTGCGTTGCGGATTATTAAAATCTCGATGGGACTCAGATGGCACCATATTTCTATTGTTCATATTTCTATTAAATTGACCACCACCACCACCATTTCTATTACGACTACCCACGAAATTTCCTCGTGGATCATTGACTGAAAAATATGTACCATCTCCACCCTCAACACTATTAATGCGAAAACCCGAAGATTTGTCTGTATGACGAATGCGTGAAGAGGGCGATGATTCATTGGAAGAATATCTATTGACTCCTGTGGGCACCACTGCTGCTGCTGCTGGAGGAACTGAGGGACTCGGATCCAGGGCCGATGGTTGTTGTGCAGATTTATATATATCCAACATGCGTTGGCGCAAACGATACATATCCATGGCATTGCTGGCAGTCTCTTTTAGCAGCTCTGCAAAATCGTGTAGGGCCATTAGTTGGCTGTCATTCATTTCTCGCATTATGGCCATAATGGGCAAGTCATCATTATTGTCATAAAGTTTACTGGATGGTGATTCCGTTTCCAATGTTTGACAAGCTATGTCAAATGTTTGTGGCACAGCCTGGATCTCAATATCGAATCCCTGAGACTTATGTTGAACAATATCCACCACATCATCAGTTTGGGTAAAGGCATTACAAAATAAAGATGAACCTGATTGCAGTAACTCTGCCTCCTCATCTTCGTCTAAAGGTTCGCCCTTGATTTTTCGTATCTTTGCTGGAATTTTTATGACTTTTAATTGATTGTGTATGGCTTGGGCATCACAGCCGACCAATTTGGCCACATTCGCTGCTACCGGTGGAAGTGAAGCTAAGCCCCATTCCTCCAAGTTAAACCGTCGAATATGAGAATTAAATTTATAGCTAACATTATTTACATTATGCAGGGGCGAACGATTTTCATAGATATGTTGATTTCGATAAGAATGGCTGGCCGGTAATTTACGAACTATTGAGGTATAAAGGAATGTTGAGAGCGGTCTATCTTTTTCCATTTCCGAGACTTTAAGGTAATTCAAAAGAGTTTTAGCTCGCACAATAACTGAAAATATAAATATAATTAAAGAGGAAATCTTTTAAACAGGAATAAATTATAGCATGCCTCGATCTCGCTTTTGTTTGACTGTGATTTCCCCTCCAAGTTCCGGTAAATGGGGTTGCATATTTTCTGAAAGATAGAAAAGCTTGTAAATATTATTGATACAGCAAGTTTCTATAGAAAATATTGCCAAAAAACAATATTTTCTATAGAAAACAGAGTCGATAACAATATTTTATATAGGAAATATTCTCGATAACAATTGCTTCTATAAGAAATCTTGTCGATAATTATGCTTTCCATAGAAAATCTTCTCGATAAAAAAATTTTCCATGGTAAATACGGAGAATCTTGTCAATAACAATATTTTCTATAAAAGATAGTGTCGGCTTGCATATCTTCTTAACGGAGTAGTGTCGACAACAACAAGAGTAGTTTCTATAAGAATTCTTTCTACCGAAGATCATGACTTTAGCAATATTTTCTATGGAAAATCATGTATACAACAATAAAAAAAGTAATTAAATCTCACCAGATAACTCATCTTCATTGAATTCCACATCTTCCGGCGATGCTCTTCCTGGTGGCTTTTCAGCTTCTGTTTTTATCCTACGCTTATCTTCAGCACGATACTCATGAGATCTTCTGGAGGTAGATGGTGCATCCATGCGATCTTCCACCTGTGATTCTTGGGGCCAACGCATAATTTTGCGACTACGTCGATCGCTGGGAGATGGAGAACGGCTGGCTAGTCTTCTTCGGGACGGAGAAGGTGACCGTGTGTAACGTCGTTTTATTGGTGATCGTGAACGACTTTTATGTCTCCGCTGTGTAGGTGTTGGAGACCGGCTACCATGTCTTCGCGGTGAATGTGACGGAGAGCGGTCACGCTTTCGAGATTTCTTTTTTGATTTTTTATGCTTTTTCTTTTCCTTCGCCAGTCTTCTTTCCAATTCTTCCAGTTGTTTCAGACGATCTGAAAACTTTATTTCAAGATCTTGCGTTTCGGCAGCCTCAACACGTTCCTGAATTTTATCCACCAACAAATCGTCGAAAAAATCCGAAGGTATTGTTTCCTTTTTGGGTTCAATTATTGGTACAGCCGCCGGTGTGTCGGGTATGTCATCGCTCATAATACCATCAAAGAAATCTTGTGGCAATGAAGAATATTCGGCAGGAGTTTCATCTTGCATCGTATGCATTGCAGCTGAAAATTCTGGTTTAACTCTTAGTAAAGATGTTGATAACACGGATATTCTCGGTGGAGTTGGAGGAGGATGTTGGTTGGTGTTATCAGTAATAGTATTTCTATCACTTTCGACATTGTTTCCTGGCAGTGGTGTTGCTCTATCGTCCTCATTGGTTTCATCATTTGTTGCGCCATCAATGCGAGCCATTGTTTGTTCCAAATCGGCTAAGTCTTGTGGTTCATGTTTAACTATAACCTGAGAAAGATCTTCGGTAGCCGTCACTGGACTTGTATGGTTAAATTGGAGCTTCATATCCTTCTCTTTGGCGTTAGTTATTGTTTCCTGTTCTTCTTTGTTAATGGATGGTGCAACAAGTGTCTCGGCACCATCCCCACCTTCCGTGGCTTGCAAGGACTGTTCATATTCTTGCACTGACTTTCGTACTGGTGTTACACGTCCGTTTTCTTCGTCCTCTTCGGGTTCACTTTTTATAGGAGTAGTTTCACTCATCTTTTCAAGAAACTAAGTAAATTTGTCAAATAATGATTGTTTATGATTGGGAAATGATAGTTTCCAAGAGTTGTGTTGCTCCGGCAGTTATTAGTTCAAAGGTATATTCTGTGGAAGGAATGGTATAGAAACAAATATGTACAGCACTAGTTACTGGTTTCATTAGTTCCCTTTTTATCCACTTGCATTTGCCTGAATACACAGAATCAAAACAAAACAGTAAGAACAAGGGTTATGTAGATTGAAAGAAGTTGAATAGGGCTCCGAAAATCGGGTCTTCCTTTTAACTGATTACCGTTTCTTCAGTATTCACTGTAAAGTGGTATCATATTCTCTTTGGCTCAAATTGATCATTTTCATAATAAAATACGCCAATCTAAAGCAATAAGCCATAAAATGGTAACCAATAGAAAAATTGTAACAAATTCTGTGATTATTGAACAGCTGATGTTACTGTTAATTTGCAAACCCACAGTAACTCAAATGTCAAATGTATCTCTGGACAAAATTCGTTTCAGGACATTTGGAGACATTTTAGCGATGTTCTTCGTCTGTCTGGCTGGTGCGCACGATAACTCTCGAAGGGAGTATCCGATTTGGTCCAAACTTGGTACATCGTAATATTATTATCAAACTTAGTTCGATTTCGTACATGCACAATATTGGTTCACTTCTTCTGGTACCTCCCCCACAAAAGGTCGAAATTAAAAAAAAAAAATATTTTTTCTGCACAGAAAGAGAACCGATAATCCGATCTCCATCAAGTACATCCCCATAAAGTGTCAAAATTTTGAATGATTACAACTCTTATGAGATGTGATGTAAGAGTCCGATAGTCTTCAAATTTCACACATCCCAATATGTTTATAAACCCAAGGTCTGTTGTTAATATGGAATAAATCGATCCACTCGTTCTGGTAAATTCCCCACAAAGGGCCAACATTGAAAATATCCATTAATATCCGATCCCATTAAGACTTGATACATCTCAATATTTCCATCAACACAAGATCTGTCATAAAGATGGTAGAGATCGGACCATTTCTTCTGATATCTCCCCCACAAAGGTTAAAAGTTTTGAATAACCAAAACGTTTAATAGCATCAAGTTCTCTTAATATTTCACACATTCCATTATTTCTACTAACACAAGATGTGCTGTGAAGATGGGATATATCGGTCCACTCCTTCTGGTATTTCCTCCACAAAGGGTCAAAATTTTGAATATAACATCCGATTCCATTCAGATTTGGCATATTTAAATATTTCCATCAACACAAGATCTGTTATGAAGATGGTAGAGTTCGGACAATTCCTTGTAGTACCTTCCAAACATAGGGTTCAAGATTTTGGAAAAGAAAGCGAAAAAATCATTCAACTCTCTTCAAATTTTACACATCCAAAGATTTTTGCTAACACAAGATATGTTGTGAAGATGATATACAGGGTTGCCCATATTCCACGAGGCTTGTCCGAAGGCAACATTCTTTGCGTCAATTGAATTTTGTACGGGAACAAATGCAAATCAATGCGAATAATCCGTTGTAAAGTGGACCGAGCCATGCCCAACTGCTGAGAACGGCGTTTTTGGGATGTTCTTGGGGACCTCTTAACACTGGCTCGTACGACAGCGATATTCTCGGCCGATCGCCTTGGTCGACTTTTATATGGCCTCTTCGGATTAGAAAGAGCCTTACCAGTCGAAAATTTTATAAACGCTTAATGTGTTCTTAGAAGGCGCACTTCTCACATTTTTTAATGTTTTAAAAGCACGTTGAGTTTCCACAGTTGACTTCAATTGACACAATTGACTATTTCAGAGCGTTCGCGTGGCGTGTATTGGTTCATGGTAAAAATCTGATTGGACTGACGCTTCAAACGCGGTATGTCATTAAGCGATGTGACATCTCTGTCAAAAGTTATGGCGTTGCCAGATGGGTCCGTCGAATATGGGCAACCCTGTATATCTGCGGACCCCTTCTGGTATCTCACCCACAAAGGGTCACAATTGTCAATACTTTTATCTGTCATAACTTGCGAAACAAGTCAGCGATTCTTTACAACTTTTCATATCTAAATATATTCACTCTATCAGAAACCTGAGATGAATATGGAATATAGCAAAAAAAAAAAAATAATTTAAATGTTCGATTTTTTTGTAATTTTTCCAATACTAATATTTTTATTTGTAGTAAATGAAGTATGAAAATGAAATATTTCGGTCGACTTTATGTGGTACATCACGCACATTTTAAGAATTTCTAAAAATTATCACATATGTCATGTAAAGTGAGGAAATGTACCAATCATGGTAGAAGAATAAAGGTAGATGCATTGGAATTGAAAATGTTGAATGAAAAATTATTTAAATTTGTAAAAATTGTTGAAAAACTTGAATGATGATAACCTCCAAATGCCGTCGTATAAGAAAAAATATAAAAATCTACTTATATTTGAAAAAAAAAACATTTAATTTTTTTTGACATATCAACGCACCCAAGCGTTGATGCATCTACCTGTATTCTTCTGCCTTGGTACCAATGTAGTCCAAACCTGGCACGTCGCAATATTTATATCATATTTATTTAGAAATGGACAACATTGGCCCATTCCCTCGGAGGGTCAACATATTTGAATAATCACAACAGAAGTCAAAATATATTTAAATAATCAAACATTGGCTGAGCGTATACATCTGTCGGCAAGACCTATTGATACTTTTAAACTTTCTATCATGTTAACATAGCAAAACTTGATAGGGCGTTATTACATTTCCATACCAAATAACACAAAAGTATCGCTTTTATCGACAGCATTAACAGTATTACCGACGTTCACCTTAGCGAAGACATATTCATGAAATAAAAAAGCGTAATTGTAAAGCATAATTTCAGGCGAATGAATTATGGCATCCGTTAACGTTGTAGACGATAGATCTCTTCAAATAAGACACCTTCAATACGTCGTGTTTGAAATAATTTTTATTGAATAAAATGGTTACAATGTTAAAATTCGCTGCTTAATTATTACGAAAAAAATATATATAAATAAATAAAAAAAAAATTAAAAACTAAATTTAATTAATTCTGTTGTTTTGTTTTCAATAAATTAATAGAATCCACGAAGATTAAATAGTTCTAACGTATACTGTTTTGAGATCTAAGTAAGTGACTTATATTAAATTTTACAAAATGTTAAAATATATGTGGGTGTGTGTGTTTTAATTCTTCTTCAATTTCATAAAAATCTTATATGACAATTACAGATTTTATACAATTTCTCGTTTCGAAATGGGTGGTACCACAGTCAAATTGTTACTGCCAGACGTGTTGACTGGCTGCGGGTCTACTGCTAAAGATTTTGTATCACAAATTTTGAAATTATTGCTGACATTGGATTTTCCTTGTTGTTGTAAAGCGTGATGCTGTTGTTGTTGTTGCTGCTGCTGGTGATGTCGTTGCTGCAAATCGGCAAATGAACGCACCTGCAAAAAAAGGCCGCTATTTAAAAGGCGAGCCTGATGTTCCTGGGCCTTGGCACGCAGACAGGCAATTGAATTGTTTCTGGAAATGGAGCAGAGGGGAAAAGAAATATCAATAATTTGAAATTTAATAAAATATTATTATGAATAACTGGATTTTAAAAATTTGTAATCCTAGAAATTTTATAAAATAAATTTTTTTAAATAATGATTCAGTCATCATTATTTAAGCCTGCATTAGGTTGGCCAAAACTACTACTTTTGACAACAATTTGACAATAACTTAGTAGTTTGTGCACTATTCTGATTTGACCCTCTTCGAATTCCAAATCACAATATGTATTTTGACACCAAACTTGGTTGTCAGATGGGCCTACTGGCAGACCTTATGTAGGCCATGGCTGAAGCCAATAAATTAACTTTTTGTTGTTGCTTAGTTTATATCTCCGGCGATTTTGGGGTCATAGCAGAATTAGCGCGCTACGTGTTGTATATAGAACAAAAAAACCACATGAAGACTGCTTTATCGACTCTGAAATGTTCTTTGTGGCGGCAGTTTTATCTATGACGCGTGGCAGGAAAATCGTGTGGCTTGCTCATTCTTCCATGGCCCTAAAACTCCAATTGCAATAAAAAAAACTAATTTATGGATAATATCGGTCCACTCCTTCTGGTACTTCCTCCGCCAAGATTCGAAATTTTCAAAAAAAAAGAAAATATATGTTTTCTGCACAGAAAGAGAACCGATATTCAGATTTTGCTCCATCTTTGCATCAGTGCTAGGTCAGTACTCAAGTACCTCGCCCACCAAGGGACAAACTTTTGAATAATTACAGCTGTTATAAAATGTGATGTAAGAGTCCGATTGTTTTCAAATTTCCCAAATCCCAATATTTTTATTAACCCGAGGTCTGGTTTGAAGATGGAATACATTGGTCTACTCTTTCTGGTACCTCACCCACAAAAGGTCGAAATTTTCAAAAAATATATTTTCTACACAGAAAGAGAAACGATAACCCGATTTTGCCACAACTTTGCAAATCCTAATATTTGCGACAGTGAAAGGTCAGGTACGAAAATTTACCATATCGGTCCACTCCATCCAGTACCTCCCCCACAAAGGGTCAATGTTTTGAATAACAAAAACCATTATAAAATCCGAAATAAACATCCGGTTCTCTTCATATTTCACACATCCCAATATTTCCAGTAACTCAAGATCTGCTGTGAAGATGGGATATATCGGACCACTCCTTCTGGTACCTCCCCCACAAAGCGCCAAAATGTTGAATATTAATGAAGCTCATAAAACACTGAATTAACATCCGATTCCATTCAGACTTTACACATCTCAATATTTCTCTCAAAACAAAATCTGTTATAAATATGGTAGAGATCGGACCATTCCTTCTGGTACCTCCACCACAAAGGGTCAAAGTTTTGAATAACAAAAACGATTATAAAATCCGAAATAAGCATCCGGTTCTCTTCAAATTAAACACCTCCCAATATTTTTATTAACCCAAGGTCTGGTGTGAAGATGGAATATATTGGACCACTCCTTCTGGTACCTCCCCCACAAAGGGTTAAAAATTTCGAATAACCATGAAGTTCATAAAACACCGAATTAACATCCGATTCTATTCTGACTTGGTTTGGTCTGATGATGGGATATATCGGTCCAACCCTTCTGGTACCTCCCCCACAAAGGGTCGAAATTTTGAATATTCATGAAGTTCATAAAACACCGAATTAACATCCGATTCCATTCAGACTTGGCACATCTCAATATTTCCGTCAACACAAGATCTGTTATAAATATGCTAGAGATCGGACCATTCCTTCTGGTACCTCCCCCACAAAGGATTAAGATTTTGAATAACAAAAACGATTGTAAAATCCGAAAGAAGCATCCGGTTCTCTTCAAATTAAACACCTCCCAATATTTTTATTAACCCAAGGTCTGGTGTGAAGATGGCATATATTGGACCACTCCTTCTGGTACCTCCCCCACAAAGGGTTATTATCCATGAAGCTCATAAAACGCAAAATTAACATCATAGCTCAAGGCTGGTGGTATACATCTGTCGGCAAAATAGACTGATACTATTTTACTTGTTCCGTAATATTTTCGGAACATGAAAATTGTCATTAAAAATCTTAAAACAAGATTCGAGTTTCACTACACCTTTCTTTATTTATTTTCAATTTCAAAAAACAAAAAAAATGTTACATTTTATTCGGACACGGCTCAGACCAAGTCCACATACTCGATGGTATGCAAAGCTGCTTTTCCGAATCAAACATATGATCAATGGGACATTTCACCAAGTCGGCTGCAGCATTGGCCTGACTACACATCCAATAGGCGGTGGGATCCCAAAAATTCCGTATCGGCTTATTTAAATTTGTACCATCACAAATGGGTTCATTGTTACTCTCCGGGTCACAGGTGGTAGCTGAGCAGGGTTTAAGCCAAATCCACTTTTTGTTGGGAACACATTCACGTCTAACGGGATCAAATAACAGACTATCGGGACATTTAATTAATTCGGCAATGCTTTGAGATGATTTGCATAGCCAATAAACGGTGGGATCCCAAAAGTTTCGTATCGGAATATTTAGATTGATTTGGTTACACTGGGGCTGATTGTTGCTCTGCGGATCACAGGCCGAAGATGTGCTGTAGCATAGAGAAAGCAAAAGGGCCAAAAAGGCAACTGCGAAGGAAGATGAAAGAGAATACGAAAATTAGAAGGGATCTCGGATGTATCAGTTCATAACTTGAGGTTTGCAGGCATAACCGGGTCTCCGAATTCAAAATTAGGCCATGGAAATATTTCCCCAAAAATATTTTTTTCGATATGATGCCCCGCTGCCAACAACAGAAATATTTGATACTTTTTTTTTCTTTCTGCAAAACTTACGGACTCTCATATTGAGTGTTGTCTTGTACTGCTGATAAATATCGCCGCAATGTTCAAGGTGACTCCAATTAACAAACTATTTGCCAATGGAATGCGTTCTTCGAATTTTATAGAGACCAAAGATAATAGTTGTTAAATAAATTAAATTATAATGTTATTGTATATTTCATACCCTATAGTTGGCATTTCGGGTCTTTTAGGCCAAAGGTGACCAATTCGAACAAATTTAAAGTTATTCTAAAATTTGATGATATTTCCGACATTTTTGCTTTAATTCAATAAAATTTAGAAAAAAAATGTAAAAATTATGGTGTTTGACTTTGTTGAGATAAAAAACTGCAACTAAGTCAAACGCCATAATTTTTAATTTTTTTTCAAATTTTATTGAATGAAAGCAAAAATAATCGGAAATAGCATCAAATTTTAGGATAAGTTTATATTTGTTCGAATTGGTCACCTTTGTCACGAATTATGGCTTTCAAACGGCCAATGACGAAGTATGGCCTTCAAACGGTCAAACGTTGCCAGAATGTTGCTCTTCCTATTTTGGCCCATTCCCGGCGAAGCGCTTGCTTGAGATGATCGACACTTTGGCATTTTTCAGTGCCAACCTTGCTTTTCAAAATACTCCAGACACAATAGGCCAACGGATTGGTATCCAGAGATTTTGATGGCCATTGTGCGCTGGAAATGAAGAGAGGAACCTCATTTTGTAACCATTCTTGGGTGGCCCGGTGTGAGTGCGATGGTGCTGAGTCCTGTTGTTGGAATGTCCAAGGTCTGCAGCCAAAATGTTTGCGTGCCCAAGGCTTTTTGATACACCCTCCAAAATATTTTCGCGATAATATTCGTCATTTATTCTGATGCCACGGTCAATTAATACGAGCAGAGAGCGACCATCGGCTGTTATGGCGGCCCACATCATCATCATGGCCGGCGCTTGAGTTCTGGTGGCCAACCGAAGGTGCACATTTTCAGCTGAAATGACCTTTTTGGCAAGTAAACACGATCATTGTGTTTGTTTACAAACTGCTGGGCAACGAATGTTTTCTCATCGGAGAAAACCAAATTCGGTAGTTCACCACTTTCGGCCAAGCGAAACAACTCTTTATCTCATTTGAGTCTATTTTCTTTCTGTTGCGGTACAAGTTCCTTCAGAACCCACTTCATAGGGGGTCAAAAATTTGAAAAATCATAACAGAAGTCAAAATATATTTAAATAATCGAGCCTTGGCTAAAGGTACAGGGTTGCCCATATTCGACGGACCCATGACTCTTTGGGCCCATTCCAATCAACGAGGCTTGTCCGCGGGCAACATTCTTTGCGTCAATTGAATTTTTTACGGGAACAAATGCAAATAAATGCGAATAATCCGTTGTAAAGTGGACCGAGCCATGCCCAACTGCTGAGAACGGCGTTTTTGGGATGTTCTTGGGGTCCTCTCAACACTGCCTCGTACGGCAGCGATATTCTCGGCCGATCGCCTTGGTCGACTTTTATATGGCCTCTTCGGATTAGAAAGAGCCTTACCAGTCGAAAATTTTTCGTATAAACGCTTAATGGTGTTCTTAGAAGGCGCACTTCTCACATTTTTTAATGTTTTAAAAGCACGTTGAGTTTTCACAATTGACTTCTTCTGTTGAATGTAAATTTCAACTATTTCAGAGCGCTCGCGTGGCGTGTATTGGTTCATTGTAAAAATCTGCTTGGACTGACGCTTCAAACGCGGTATGTCATGAAGAGATGTGACATCTATATGAAAAGTTATGGCGTTGCCAGATGGGTCCGTCGAATATGGATAACCCTGTATACATCTGTCGGCAAAACCGACTGTTAATTTTTAAATAGTTCAAAGAATATTCGCCAAAAGCCCAAAAAGTGTTGCCTAGTGTAATAAATTATTGCATATTATTTAGGAATGCCATACACATTTCGATCGATTCGGTTGTTGTTTAATTGAAATTCTATGTTAAATAATGTTTTAGCAAAAAGCAAAGGAGTTCGATAAAAAAACATTGGGCGCTGTTTTGTCAAAGGGACTTTTTTAACTTTTTTTATAAATTGCAGAGCAGTCCTAAAATAGAAGTTTTGAAATAATTCTTCGAAATTTAATTTTTTTGCAATGAACAGTTATTTAAGGCTAATAGTACGATTACATATAAAACGTTATCCACGTTGATCCTGACATAAATTCTTTACCCGGGTTAACCACGATCATTAACC